GCTTTTTTCTTTTTGCTTATGTGGTGCTGAGGAATCGAACCCAGGGCCTCAGGCATGCAAGGCAAGCGCTCTACCACTGAGCCACCTTCCCAGCCCCATACATTCATTTTTGAGACTCTACTCAATGAACAATATCCCCTTAAGAGAAACTAGTGTATTATGACCTTTGTTTGCATGAAGGTCATTTGCCCTCACTTTGAGCAGTGTCTTGGGTTTCTAGGAAAGCTTGATAAAAGTGTTCACTTTCTGTTCTTTTCTTTTTGGTGCCAGTCCTGGGGCTTAAAAGGTCTGGGCACTGTCCCCGAGATTTTTCTCCTCCAGGTTGGTGTTCTGCCACTTGAGCCACAGTCCCTCTTCCAGTTTTCTGGTGGCTAATTGGAGATAAAGAGTCTCACAGACATTCCTGCCCAGGCTGGGTTTGAACCGCAATCCTCAGATCTCAGTCTCCTGAGTAGCTAGGATGATAGATGTGAGCCACTGGCACCTGGCTTGGTAGCCAGCTTTTAATGTTTGAAAGGATACCACTGAACTTGTTACTCTGTGGCCTGATTTTTATTTTTTGCCTCTAGAAAGATACATTGATAACCCCAGTGGTGGGTTTTATAGACCACAGCTTCCAGGCTCAGCCCAACCCCGATGAAGTCAAGGATGTGTTCTTCGTGCCTCTGGATTACTTCCTCCACCCACATGTTCACAGCCACCATCACATCACACAACCCGATGACCAGTTTATCGCCCATTGCTTTGAGTATACAAACCCTGAAAGTGGTCTCCAGTATAAAATCAGAGGCATAACTGCAAAAATGGCCGTGCTGGTGGCCTTAATCATTTTGGAAGAAACACCTTCCTTTGAGACTGAATTCAATCTCAGTGATCTCATTTCATCTTATAAAAAGTTCTTTCTTCGGAAACATGTGACAAACAAGTTATGATTTGTGAGACCACAACCCACGAACAGCCCAAGTGTTCTCGGTGTGAATCTCTGCACAGAGCAGCAGCTAGGCTGGTATCCCTGAAATCCAATGAGCTGATTGCCCTTCCTGCACTACGAAGCTCAAGCCTGCCTGCTTTCCAGGGTGAATGACGTTAGAGCATTGTGTAATTTCATCCACAATCTGTGGTACTTTTCCTACACATTTAAGGAAGAGCATCTGGCGCATAATAGGGAGTTAATAAATATTTCTTGAGTTTATGACCATGTGGCATTTATTCTAACTGTATTTATTTATTTATTTATATTTGTTGGTGGTATTGGGGTTTGAACTTGAGGCACTACCCAAGCCACAACTCCAGCCCTGTTTGCTTTGGTTATTGTTGAGATGGGGCGTCTTTTTTTTTCTAGAGCTGGCCAAGGTTCTCGAGTTGACTGTGATCTCCTGTTCACTCTTCCCACATAGCTGGGATGACAGGCGTACACCCAGCTATTTCTTTTCTTTCATTCTTTGTTTTTCGGGGAAGGGACAGTCAGCGTGGGGCTAAGAACTCAGGGCTTGGGCTCTGTTCCTGAGCTCTTTTGCTCAAGGCTGATATTCTACCACATTGGGACACAGTGCTACTCTGGCTTTCTGGTGGTTAGAGAAAAGAGTCTCACAGACTTTTCTGCTCGGGCTGGCTTTGAACTGTGATTCTGAAATCTTAGTCTCCTAAGTAGCTAGGATTACAGGTGTGAGCCACCAGTACTTGACAAAAGGATAGAAACTTCTGGTCAGCTGACCTTTCCACCTGATGTGTTGGTGCCTCATGCTTATAACCTGAACTACTCTGAAGGCTGAAATCGGGAAGATCAAAATTTATGGCCAGCCTGGGGAAAACCTTTGCAAGACCCAATCTCAACCAATAAAACTCAGTGTGGTGCTGTGTGCCTGTCATCCCAGCTACATGGCAAGTGCAATTAGGAGGATCATGATTCAGGACTTCTAGGGAAATAACAAAAGTATATTTGAAAAATAATGAAAGCAAAAAATTAGTTGGAGGCATGACTCAATAGGTAGAGTGCCTGCCTTTCAAGATCCAAGTTCAGAGCCCAGTTCAAAAGAAAAGAGAAGGAGGGAAGGAAGAAAGGAGAGAGGGAGGGAAGGCAAAAGGAAAATAGGAGGGAAGGGAGGGGAAAAAGGAAGGAAGGAAAGAGGGAGGGAGGAAAGGGAAGGAAGGAAAAGGAAAGGAAAGGGTAAAGGAAAAGAAAAGGGAAAGGAAAGGGAAGGGAGGGAAGGAAAAGAAGGAAGGGAAGGGAGGGAAGGAAAAGAAGGAAGGGAAGGAAGGGAAAGGAAGGGAGGGAAGGAAAGGGAAGGAGGAAAGGAAGGAAATCTAGTCTGCCTGCTTCTATGACAATTTAAACTGGGCCCATGGTCAGTGTTTGGATCTCTGAATGTGTGGAGCAGAGACTGGGTGGTCCACTGGGGTCTGTTACAGGAGAGGACAAAATTCTGCCATCCACTTTAATTAGGGGCCTCTTGGTCACAATATACCTCTCACCTTAAATAACAGACTTGCAAATGGCTGGATAGATAACTGAACTACAGTGAAGGCTGCAATCAGGAAGATCAAAGTTCATGGCCAGCCGGGGCAAAATCTTTGCAAGATTCAGTCCCAACGAATAAAAAGTTTGAGGTGTTGGGAGCAGCTGGAACTCTTGGCTCTTCACATGTGGATTCCACGGGGTGCCCTGTCCTAGGGGAGCAGGGCTTGGCATCATCCAGGATGGCGGATGGGAGCTAGGGAACACGAGGAGCCTACAGATGAGAGAGAGAGCCATACTCATCTCACGATGCTTAGGGGAGAAAGACATTGATCCCAAACACAGGCTCCAAGGTGAAAGTCAAAAAACAACCAAAAAAAGGGACATCCCGAGCTTCATGCCTTGAGATCATATAGGCATTGGTGTGCTGGGATTTCCTTGTTTAACTGTGGTAGAAACCATCATGCACCAGGCAGAGGCCAGCAGTAAACCAACCTAACCACAGCTCTGCCCAGGCCAGGTCTCATCTAACTGCATGTAGTTATTAGACCAAACCATTTGTGAATAAGACTTGGCTACAACTGCAGATCTAATGCCATCAGTAAACTCATCGATCGAGTTGCCATACACTACTCGTTCATCGACGTCGGAGTTTCATTTCTTTGAAACTTGGCAGAGAAAAATACCCAACCCACTGCATTGTGCCCATCAATGTGTAAATAGCACCCATCTGCCTCCGACCACAAAAGCAGATGTTGGGGAAAGAGTCCCCGTTAACATTCCATAACTTGCCCTGCATGAATGGGTCTGAACTGTTTTCAGAACAATTACAGAGACATTTGCCAGTATGTATTTACGGTCTGACAGCGGTGTAATTGCTGGGTATGTGGCTGACCTCTTTGGCTGGACAGACACAGCCCTGCAAGCTGTATCTGTGAATGACACAGACCTGCCTGGTTTTCAAGAGGCACCCACACTGCTGAGGTCCATGGTCAAAGAGCACCAATGCAGGGTGCTGGTTACATAGAGTATCTTATGGCAGCGAAGGGCAAGACTGTAACGGATAAACATCAACTGTAGATCAAATATACAGAGAAGCCACGGGCACTCCATGCCCATTCTATTATGGTTGCCTAGGACATTCTGGTCCCTTGTATAGAGCACACAAAGGGCTGGTCAAACAACTCAAAACACCTTATTCCTGTCCTTAATTTTGTAAAGGGATTCAGCCATCCACGCGGCTTAATTTTGTATTCTTTGTAACTTTGCAAGCATTGGTAAAGGAGCAGTTAAGTCTGAGGCCAGTGGCTCACACCTGTAATCCCACTACTCAGAAGGCAGAGATCAAAAGAACCATTAAGTGAAGGTTAGCCTAAGAAAAACAGTTAACAAGACCATCTCTCAATGAACAAGCGGGGTATGATAGTGTAAGTAATCCCAGCTACACAGGAGGTCTAAGTAAGAGAATCTTAATCAAAGGCTAGCCCAAGGAAAAACTCTTACGAGAAAAGTAACAAAAGCCAAAGGAAGATTTCTCAGATGTGAATAGCAGTTCTAGGGTCCCCTTTTCCAGGAACTTTAAGCAAGTTATCTATCCTCTGTAGGCCTCAGTTTACTCTTCTGCATTCAGCAGAGAGAAACTTTTGATTTTCCCATTTTCAGGAGACTACATGAGCAGCCTTTCAGCTTGAAAGTAGAGCAAAGTGTCCAAAACAGGACCCAGGAATTAGTGTCCAATTTCCTACTAACTATTAAATACAGTATTTTTAGAACTGTAGCATTAAATCATAACAATGCCAGTTAAGCTATTATTCTCTAGTTCAAAGCTTCCTCCTTTTCCTGTACTGGATGTTCTAGAACTTTCTGTGTCCAGGTCAGTGATTTTCTTCCAAGGCACACACACACACAACGAGATCAAAAGAGATTCTTAATGTTTTGTTTATTATGAAATTAGGCCCAAACAACTTAGCAAATAGCCGTGTCCTACTCACTCGATGGCCATTAGAAAAAATAATGTAGATAGGCTGAAAGAAAAATACTATTTTTCAGTCCAGTCTGAACCACAATTGTTCCCCAACGGATTCAGGTGAGCCCTGTTGGGTTTTTAAAAGTAAACAGAAGATCAAAATAAACAGAATAGAACTGAATAGAATAAAATAGAATAGAGATAAACTTGCAAAGAGAGAAGAGACGCCGAGATTTGAGCACTCAGGAATAACAGTCAGGAGCAGATGTGAGAAATAGCTGAGCCTGAGAAGGAAGAAAGGCCAGCAAGGTGAATGGCACGGTGAAACTCTCCTCTTGTATGCCCAGCATCTCACTTCGATTATTATCCCTGTTTTCAGACAGGAAAATTGGAAGGGCGGAGAGGTTAAATATTTGTTCTTGCTCACACCACGTATCATTGACAGAGCCCTCTTTCAAAATATACAAGGAGGCATTTCCAGTCCATTCTCCTCATCCACTCACCCACGAGTAGGTAAGGAAGGACGGTTCACTTACATTGCCCTTTGCACCGCTCCATGCGCAAGAGAAAGGAAGAGAAAAGTTGCTGAAGTGGAGAAAGGACAGTTTCTTTTTGCCTTACCCGTATCCTCCTGCTGACTCAGCCGGCATCTCACCCTGTGAAGTAAGTAATTAGCTAGAATGTTCTTAATTAAAATGGAACCTACAAATTAATAAATGACAGTGCGGCACACTTGCTGATTAAAACAGCTCCTTCATGGTGCCAGATTTCCAGTTAAAGAGCAGAGATGGGGGGAAACCTTCTTCCACACCCATAGACGAGATGATTTAATGGAACTCAAGTTGTAGTTCTGGCAGAATCACATGAGGTTTGCATGAAATCACCGGAGTGCAGTTGTCTTAGACGTGGCCCTCCCGGGTCCCACGTAGGATCTGGGTTGGTATTTCCTGTCCAGAATCCCCCATGACCTGTCTACGCCCCCCTCCCCTTCAGTCATCCCACAGCTGAACCCCGCTCAGCCCTGTCAGTTAGTCTATCTGTGCAATGGCAGCGTGGCCTGCCAGTGTCTTCCCATCTGATTCCTGGTGTCCAGAAATCAGTGAGATGATAAAATAATACACACACTGAAACCAACTCCAAAGATAGGGAAGTAAAGGACTTTTTTTCTTAATTTGTTGTTTATGTTTCTGATGACTGTATTCTTTACCTTATATACGGTGTATTCACATGCACATCTGTGGGAGGGTGAAGGGAGGGCACAGAATCAGAGGAAAGGAGGTGAAAAAGTGCCACAGTGGAGCGCATTGGCTGCACTGGACAGGGATGAAAGTGAACTTTGCAACTCTTGGGTGGAGATGGGAAGGAGGAAGGGAATGGGAGAGAATGAAGGAGCAGGTGACACTATGGGAAAGGAAATGTACTTGTTACCTGATGTATGTAAAGGTAACCCCACTGTAGAGCACCTCTAAAACAATCAAGTAAATTAGGAAAAATAAATACACTTCCACTGATTTACACCACTGAGTCTGTAGTAATCCATTGGGTACTGTCCACTCCCAATTGCTGAAAGAGCTTCCCATTTTTAGCTCTGTCTCAGGATAGACATGGAACGGGTTGCTCTCAGCTGTCCAGAGATTGGAACTTAGCCAAGCTCGGTGAATCAGATTTTTGTTCCTCAGAAATCTAGTGAGTTTAGGACCAGTGGCAGCAGGGTCTGCAGACCTGCTCTGTGGATAGAGCATGTGTGGGTTTCTCTCTTTGCTTTTCTGCA